TCTCTCAAATAATCTTTACCGGACATTGTTCCTGCAATGACTATCTTCTCTCCCTCTGAATCAGTGAGTGAAATGTTGTGTAGAGATTCTTCTTTGATAATTGCAGAGACGGTATTGTAATTCTTTATTTTACGCTTATTCTTGGACCTCTGAATAGTCCAATTCTCGTCTTGGAGGAGGTTGGGATATACCCACATCATTTTACCTCTTGTTATAGTAAGAGGGAATAAAACTTGACTTTGTCGGTCTTGGCGGTCATAGTTCACCACTTCCATTCTTGCAGTAGGAACTTTGAGCTTGAATTTCCGGCATGGAACCGAATTGAAGAGTCACCATGTTCGCAGTGACTTTCTTTTGCTCAGGTTTAAACTTGAGGATCTCTGATTCAATAAAGGTTTGGATCTTATCCTTAAGGATATAACAATTCTTTATTGGGTGTCCCAACATCCTATGATAAAGGTAGTAGTTGGGGTCATCGGTCTTCCCAATTTCTTCAGGGCATCGAGTTTTAGGAAGTTGTAAGCGGTTCTCTTTGTTGAGCACATGGAAGATAACAAATGTATGTTCATCTTTGAATAGTTACGCTAAAAGTTCTTCCTTGGTTCTCTTTGCTAGTTATTGTTGGGATTTTGAACTTCAATGGCAAAAATTTCTTTAGCTTTCGGTTGTGAAGTTTGCCCTTATTTGCCTTTGTTGCCCTTGAAATTGGTGTTGAGGCTCGAATTTGTTAAAATGTTGTGCTGATTTTTCTGCTACCTCAGCTTGTTTGATCAGATCCTTTCATGTGTGGGCAGTGACGACACCCATGTGAGCTTCAATCCATACCACAAAATTGTGCCGACAAGTCTGAAATAACATCGACAAAGACATATCTCGACATTGCAATGTCAGATTGCAGTATCTTTCAGTGTATTCTCTAACTGTCTCATTTCCATTTTGCTTCACAAAAAGGAGCTTGGATATGGTAACATTAGATTATTCCTCGTGAAAGTGTGAGAGGAATTTTGATTCTAAATCCGCCCATGATCTTATTGAATCTTAAGACAGATTCTAGAACTAATCAAAGACTAACCCTTGAAGAGTGTCGATGAAAAGACATGCATTTATGGTATCATTACCTACTACATTCCTAGTTGTTGGAAGTAGTAAATATATAGGTTTGGAGAACCTTTACTGTCAAATGTATGCAACGTTGTCTGTTTAAATTTCATCGGGTAGGGAACCATTCCTACTCGACAGATAAGGTCGGATGATTCTAGCCTTCTTTAGCTCTATTCGTTGAGAAAGAATATTGAGCTGTTTTTGAATGTCCTCTAGAGCCTTTGCACCCTTGCTTGGCTTTGAAGGAATTGTTGTTTGTAATCTCGCATGTTCAGAAGCTACACCGTCTTGGTGCTCTGCATCTTCTTCTCGAGAGGATTCACTAATCGGCTTTTCCCCCTTTGAAGATTTTAGTTGAGATTGAGATACCAATAAGAGTTGTTCGACCATATTCTCCAAACATTCAATCCTTCTATTCGAGTCTTTCTTCTGAGTTGCCATTTGAGCAAGAAGATCTTCTCGGTTCGTCATATCTACATCCTATTATCACTCTTGACTTGAGCTAGAGGTTGCATTAGATGCTATGGCAGAGTTGGCGACGATAGTCGTGGGTTAGTGCACTTGAGGTGAAGTTTACGAAATATACGCTTGGGGAGAAAAGTAGTCGAAAGGGATCACTGCTCTTTGTCTTAGCCTAGTGCGACGATACACACCATCAGCTTCCGGCAATATAGATCAAATACTAGGAGAATACACTGGATCGGGCGAGCTATTTATGCTTTCGTCATCATCTTCAAAAATTACACTCATCATGTTGACAGTGAATTCTTGCATTTTATCCTTTTGAGTACATCGTCGTCGTTTAGTCCGAACATCTGAAGGTTCAGGACCATGATTGATATCACTGAAAATTAATTCTTTCATAGGGGTAGCTTTACATTGGCAATTGTTTTGAACTGCCGAAACTACTTCTCTAAGGGTCGCACAATTCTGACATTGACAAGCTCTCTTCAGAGATAAGAAATCTCTTAGATCACCATTAATTCTAGGTTGAGAGCCAACTTCACCACTTTTGGCCTTGAAACGCGAACATCACTTATGGCGACGTTGGCTAGACTTTTGTGCAGCGGATTCATCATTGATGATATTATTCCCTTGTAGGAATTTTGGTGAGGGATTTCCCCCATCCTTAGCTTCTACCGAGGAAGCATAGCAAGTATCGCGATATGTTTTTAAATCAAACTCCTGAAGGAGTTATGGATTGATGTCCCAAATCAGCAGATAAAACAAGATATTAAGCTTCATTTGAGGCGAGGGTTGAGATTTCTTCATTCTTGGCAAAGTTAGTTTGGCTTTTAGCTAAGATCAAATTATTTTCAACAAAGGTTGCCTTTACACACGCAGGGTTTGATTTAGACCCGAGAGTCACACTGTGGCGAATCATACAAGAACTACAAACAGTCGTCCTGGATGAAGTGTGGTTCGCAGACATGAATTCTTCGAACTTCGCTTGGTCAAATTCAATGACTAGCAATTTAGCAAAAGATCTGAGGGTCTTAGTGTCATTGTCTGACACAATTTTCTCGTCGGAGGAGAAAGAAGTCCCCAGCAGAGTCGTCATATTGTTTTGGGTCTTTTAAAATTATAATTGACACAAATTATAATAAAAGAATGTAATGAATAAAGAAAAAATTATATTTCCTGTGATTCTTTTCTGTGTGCCGGTAACGTATAAATTTTGTACTCCGTTGACGCACTGATTAAGATGACGAGTTTTTTTTACTGTTGATGGAAGTTTAGTGGTGTGAAAGATAGCTCAGTCTTTTCTAGACACTTCTACTCAATGAAATCTGTCTATGTGTGTGTCTAGATCTGTAGATCTCCTTTGATTCTTACGATGATCCTTATGATGCTAAAAATGAATGATCTCCCCTCCTTTTATAGGCTAAAAGAGAGAGTTAATGACCCTCTTAATTATGGATTATGTGACCATTAAAATAGGAGATAGTGTGGGGACGGTTATCCCTCGAAAATAGCCCTCAAATGGCTATTACACTAACGTATCCATTAAGAGTTCTATGACTCACCCCAAACCAATCTCTTGATGGAGCATCTCTGTCTTAGGATGAGGTTTTGGAGTACCTAGCTCCGATGTGAAAACCAATCTCTTGATGGAGCATCTCTGTCTTAGGATGAGGTTTTGGAGTACCTAGCTCCGATGTGAAATCATGTTTCACATGTATAATATGAATGCTCTCTAATGGATACATCTGTTTCTATCCTTTGAACTTCCTTCAAGGGATCACCTACACAGAAGTAGGGTTTCCGCAGTTGATGTTTCTATGTATTTGGGCTTAACGTCATACTTAAAGATGATTAAGTCTAAGAGTTCTATTTTTCCATAATTCCTGGCCTGGGCTTAACCACATACTTAAAGATGATTAGTAATATATATATATATATATATATATATATATATTATATATATATATATATATATAATATATATATAATATTATATATATATATATATATATTATATATAATATGGGCTTTCAATTTTGACTTGAAGGAATCTCCACCATGGTAGAGAGGGAGACAGATCTCCATCTTCTAGGATTTTCGTATGAGAGACCTAAGTTTGCGGCCAACTGTAGGGCTGGATGAGCATGGTGGAATTTTATGGAATTGAATCCATAAAGGAGAGGATTTGAAAACATAATCTTCCACCCTCTTGTTCTTCTCCTAGATAAGTTAAGATGAGATCATTCCGGTAGGACCAAGGTCCCCTCTTTAAGCCTTGTTTGGCAAACTACTAAAACCGGACCAGGTTCAAACCTGATCTAGTTTTAGTAATCTTTTTATTATTGGAAAAAAGCTAGGCCTGGTCCACCTGCTTTTAGTTCATTTTGGAGACTTTCAACTAGGCGGGAATTGAATTACGTAGGGATTGGTTCAGTTCCGGCTAGTTCAATTTTGACCTAGTTAAAAAATAAAACTAGGCTTGCCCAGTTTGGATAGATTTGCCAAACAGACCCTTAGGTTTGTTTGTAAAACATCTTTCACTTTTGAAATAGGCAAGTCCTACTGTGGGAGTGCTTCAGAGATGGCAACCTGATCTTCCAAACCCCACGCAAAGAGGATGTTGTTCTTGATGCTGTTGATTATGAAATTTTTATCAATGAGAACAGTAACGCAAAAAATAAAAAAAGGATCTTTTTTGAATCCGTGGAGTCTTTGATGTCCTCATCAGTCATAAAAGCTCCATTCTCTGAAAGATTGATGGTAGTCAGAGCTTTGAGTTTGTTATGAGGTTTTCAGTAGCATCCGGAGAGGAAAATCCTTCATTGCATGTTGCTTATATATATAAATATATCGAATTTGTCTTTAACGCATACGTATTTCAACTACATCTAAATATTCAGTGATGTGATATTTTGGTCGGGAACGCACAAATCCATTTGTTCTCTCAACATGTTTAAACATTTTCATGTAAACTTCCACGAAGCTAAGGTGAATTTCCATGTTTTTGTTAATTGCACTAATCAACTTATATTTTTTTCATCAACTAGATTATAATCCAAGCAATAATCATTAAATGTTCTAATATGTACTTATATTCATCTAATATAGACATTATACCAGGATATTTGTAGTAATCATTAGATATTCTAATGTGTACTTATATCCATCTAATATAGACGTTATACCAAGATATTTGTGTTCATATTTGTATCAGCTAAAAGAATATTTGGCAATACCTATGGCCATTTCTCTGACACGAGAAACTATTTAGTGATTCCTACATACGATTCGGTTGGTGCACTAATAATAAAGGATTCTTGGTGTACCAACTCATGTGCAGTCGAGACAATAAAAATTTCTTCTGCTACATAATCCAGCGTAGAAATTTGGACTATCTGGTGTAAGTCTGTGTTTGTTTCATGAAATGAACCCAGGATCGAACCCGTTGTTTGGAGCTTTGCAATCAACAGAATCAGTGTTCGGGAGATCAAGCGAAACATGGGTGGAAGGTGAAGGCATGCTTCATGCTATACGTTTCGCTAGAGATGCTGATAGCGGAAAATGGAAGGTGTCTTACAAGAACCGATACATACAGTCCGATACGTTCCGGATCGAAAAGGAAAAGAACAAGCCCTGCTTCCTCCCTGCCATCGAGGGCGATTCTGCTGCCATCTTAGCCGCATATTTCCTCAACCAGGTCACTATTTTTATCTTTTTCTTTAGATGTTTATAATGTTAATTCATTTGTCTTTGATATTATCTTCATAATGTCATTATTGCAGCTGAGATTTGGCAAAATAAACAAGTACATCAGCAATACAAATGTCTTTGAACATTCTGGGAAGATTTACTCAATTGCAGAAAATCACATCCCACAAGAGGTTGACATTTTTAGCCTTGAGACACTTGGTAATTGGGACCGCAATGGAGAATGGGGTAGACCTTTCATTGCACACCCAAAGGTCTTCAATTTGTTTTTCTAAACTTAAAATTTCATCTTGAATTTATACATACTGAAATCACATAAATATTACGTCATTCACAGAAAGCCCCGGGATCTGGTGAGCTCGTCATTGTTGGGGCCGATGCAGTGAAACCTTATCTGGTTTTAGGAATCCTCTCAGGTTCTTCTACATATTTAAATGCTTGAGTTTGTTACACTGTCTACATTTTATTCTTATTATGTCTACTTTTAACCAGTTCAGCTGATGGAAGGACACTAAAGCACAAGGTTGATCTCAAGCTTGAAAGAAGCATCGTTTGCCATGATATAGGAGTCACTAACATGTAAGTTTCACTTGAGTCTTCTTCCGAACATTTCTATATTAGCTCTGATTCTGACATATCCTTTGTGTGTTATAGGTACAATATAATTCTCGATTTCCCAATCACTGTTGACATAAATAGGCTAATCCAAGGTGGACCGTAAGTATCCATAACCTTTACATTTTATTAGCGGGTCTAAGATTTACTCGTATTTGGTTTATGCTTGTAGGCTGATGAAGTATGATAAAGAAAGTTATGGGAGAATCGGAGTGATGCCTCGATATGGAGATGCAGATTCGGTCAAATGGTTTGAGGTAGAACGATGTTGTGTCTTTCACATCATCAACTGCTTTGAGAATGGGGATGAGGTAATAATCATGAAGTAAACAGTATATGGATGATTTATTGCCTAATATTTTTTTAGCTATTGTGAGGTATTCATCTCACTACATTTTGTTTTATTCTCACTTGAAATATTTACAACTTGTAACCTCTATTGAGTATGTGCTCTTGATTATGCAATATTAATGCATCTTTTAGCAAATGCCAATGGTATTGTGAAAATTGTGAACGTGGGGGGACACAGGACAGTGAGTGTTCCCCATGCCCAATGTTCCTCTCCCATGCTCTTGTACCTCTGCCCATACTCTCTGCCTTCCCCCATACTCTTCCTCCCTTCCTCCAGTCGGATCCAGCAGGGCATACCCCATCTCTCTTCTCCTATATTGATATTTTTTTTCATAGTGAAACCCCCCTCCCGTGGACGTAGGTAAGTTTGCCGAACCACGTAAATCTCGTGTCTGTATTGTCTTAACTGTGAGTTTGCCATTGCTTGTAGGTTCCCTCGACATTTTAGTCCTAGAACTGATGAGAGGAAGAGTATATATTTCACTTTGTTGAAATATTTTACTTTCCATTCTAGTTTCTTTTGAGAAATAAGAATATAGAGGTTGACTTGTGCTTTTGTGAAAACGAAAGCCAGGGCTATCTCTCAGGTGATATCGCTTCCGTGGCGTGAAGACGTGACTCTACGTCCAATAATTGGTATCAGAGCCCTTGATCAGATTGGTGGTGGTAGAACTTCCGATTTGAGGTGGTACTTGGTTATTGTGTGGTAAAACACAAGGTATTTGTTAAAATTCCTGAGAGAAGCAGTTTTATTAATACTAGCGGAAAATGGCGTCTACAAGTAAAACAGTTAAAGTTAGAAAATACGAGATAGAAAAATTCAATGGTAAGAATAATTTTTCCTATTGGAGGATGCAGATGAAAAATTCATTGATTTCGCAAAAATTGCACAAAGCTTTAGCGGGAAAAGAGAAGAAGCACAAGGATATGTCTGATGAGGATTAGGATGAGCTAGATCTGGAAGCACGTGTGTTGATTATCCTTTGCCTTGAAAGGGATTTAGCTTTCTTGGTGGACGGGGAGGAAACGGTTGCGGGCGTGTGGTTAAAGTTAGAGAGTACCTTCATGACGAAGAGTCTAACAAACCGGATCTATTTAAAATTCAAATTGTATACTTGCAATATGGAGGAGGGTTCATCAATCCGGGAATACATCAAGTTTTTCGTTGGATGATATTAAGGTGACAGTGGAAGACGAGGATCAGACACTTCTACTACTTCTATCTCTGCCGAAGTCTTATGAGAATCTGGTTCAAACACTGATGCTTGTGGGTGACAGTTTGTCGTTGGATGAGACTAGAACGGCGCTTCTAGCGGATGATCTTTGAAAAATTATAACTAGTGATATGGCCACTGGTGATAATAAAGAACAAGCGCAGGGGATTTTTGCCAGAGGAAGGGGCAATGAGCGAGGAAAAGGTAAGGGAGGAAAGTCTAGATCAAAATCAAAACCTCTTGCGGAAAGAACGTGTTTCAAATACGGTGAGCTAGAGCATTTCAAAGTCAATTATCCTAACAAGAGAGTAGGTGGGAAGAAGAACAACAACAAGACTGAAAGACGAGAAGGCAAGGAAGAGGCGAGCTACGTTTCATGGGAAGGGAGCGATAAAGAATGCTATGTCGTCACGGGTGGCGAGAATACCTCTGGGAAGTGGATACTTGATTCTGGTTGCTCTTACCACATGTGTCCAAATAGAAAGTGGTTTACTACCTACAGGAGCATTGATGGTGAAACCGTATTGATGGGGAACAACCATGCTTGTAAAACGGTTGGGCTAGGTGATATCAAGATCAAGATGCATGATGGAGTGGTTCGAACCTTGACGGATGTAAGACACGTTCCCGACTTGTGGAAGAATCTTATCTCAGTTGGTGCTTTAGACTCCGGGGGTTGTAAGATTGTAACAGAGAACAAAGTGAAGAGGGTTGTTCGGGGTTCCTTAGTAGCGATGAAGGGCATTCGTCATAGCAACCTATATACTCTCTTAGGTACTACGGTTACGGGAGATGTAACTGTTGGAACTGATAGAAATGGTGGAGACCCATGTGAGCACACACAGTTATGGCATATGCGGCTTAGGCACATGTTAGAGAAGAGTCTAGCTCTGCTCAGTAAGGATGATTTGTTGAAGAATCTGTAAAAGCCTTGCATGGATTTTTGCGAGGATTGCGTGTATGAAAAGGCACACATGGTCCGATTTTTGACAAGCAATCATAAGAGCAGAGGTATACTAGATTATGTGCACACAGATGTTTAGGGTCCGGATTCGACAACTTCCAAGGGTGGTTCAAGATATTTTGTTTCATTCATAGATCATCATTCGAGGTATGCTTGGATTTATTTTCTAAAGCATAAGAATGAGGTATTTGAGACATTTAATAAGTGTAAGGCGATGGTTGAGAACAGGACAGAAAAGAAATTAAAGACATTGAGATTTGACAACGGTACAGAGTATATAGATGGTGCCTTCAAGGATTTTTGTGATCAGGAGGGGATTGCCAGATACTGGACAGTTAGATCTACACCACAACAAAATAGGGTCGCGGAGAGACTAAACCGAACACTACGGGAGAAAACAGTGAGTATGCGATCATATGCTGGTTTGGGTAAAAAATGATGGGCAGAGTCAATTGCTACAGCTTGCTATATTGTGAATCGATCCCCACATTCTACATTGGATGGTGATACATCCTATCGGGTGTGTTCAGGGGAGCATCCAGATTATGAGAGGCTCCGAATTTTTGGGTGTACTGCTATCACGTCAACGATGGAAAGCTTGACGCTAGGGCCAAGAAGATAATTTTCTTGGGGTATACGAAGGGTGTAAAAGGCTATCGCCTATGGTGTACAGAAGATTCGAAGTTCGTGATCAGCAGGGACGTTACCTTTGATGAGAAGTCCATGATTCCTATGGTGCCCAAGGATGATGGTGTTGAAACTGTTGGGAATTCTAAGTCTCAGGTTATTGAGATAGAACCTAAAGACCAACCAGGTTCTAGTCGTGTTCAAGTGGGAAATTAGGTAGATGATGAGCTTGAGCAAGAGGACACTACAACAATAGCAGCTCGAGGATAGCTTGGCTTCCACTAGGCCAAGGCAAGCATACAAGCAGGTACAAAAGCTGGGCGCTGATCAACCCCTGAAGCATTATGAGCAGGTTAATTTGGTTGAGTACGCACTCTCGGTGGAGGAAGATGAGTCAGTCTCCTTCAAGGAAGCTATTCAGGATAGAGATAGCGAGAGTTGGTTGGCTGCGATGGAGAAGGAGATGACATCTCTCCGGAAGAACCAAACATGGGAGGTGGTCCCATTGCCCGTAGGAAAGAAAGTTATAGGGTGTAAGTGGCTGTATAAAAGAAAAGAAGATCCTTCAGAGCTTGGTGATACGAGGTACAAGGCGAGGCTAGTGGCTAAGGGGTTTGCACAAAGAGAGTGTGGATTACAATGAGATATTTTCTCTGGTGGTAAACCACACTTCTATTCGGGTGCTATTGAGTATTATTGTTCATTGTGATCTTGAACCGGAACAACTCGATATAAAGACAACCTTCTTGCATGGAGACTTGGATGAAGAGATCTACATACATCAACCTGAGGGCTATAAGGTTGAGGATAAGGAGAATCATGTATGTCGTTTGAGAAAATCACTTTATGGATTAAAACAATCTCCTCGGTAGTGGTACAAGCGATTTGACTCCTTTATGCTAAAGCATGGGTTCTCCAAAAGCGAGTATGACTGTTACGTCTATATTCGAAAGCTTCGTGGAGATGATTATATCTATCTTCTTTTGTATGTGGATGACATGCTTATTGCTTCGAGAAGTAAGGTGGAGATAGATAGGTTAAAATCTCAACTTGGTAAATAGTTCGAGATGAAGGACATGGGCGCTGCTAGGAAAATACTGGGTATGGAGATTAGAAGAGAGCGGGCGAATCAACGATTGTTCTTGAGTCAAAAAGGGCTACATAGAGCGGATGATCGTGAGTTTCGGGATGCAAAGTGCAAAGTCGACGGTGACTCCATTGACACCACATTTTAGGCTCTCAGATAAACAATCTCTCACTACAATGGAAGATAAGGTACACATAGAGCGTGTTTCCTATGCTAATGCAGTTAGCAGTTTGATGTACGCAATGGTGTGTACACGTCCTAATATTTCACAGGCGGTTAGTGTGGTCAGCAGATTCATGGCGAATCCGGAAAAGACGCACTGGGAAGGAGTGAAATGGGTCATGAGGTACTTGAAAGGTACCGTGAATACGGGTCTTTGTTTTGGTGGAGATACATGTCAGATCGTCGGGTTTGTAAACTCAGATTATGCAGACGATCTAGATAGACATCGATTTACTACTGGTTATGTATTCAGGATACATGGGGCTCCAGTTAGTTGGCGATTGATGTTGCAAGCTACAATTATACTTTCTACTACAGAGGCCGAGTACATGGCCATAGCGTAAGGAGTGAATGAAGCATTGTGGTTGTGGGGTCTTCTAGACGATTTGGGGATTGAGCAGAAGAGTGTGAACTTGTGGTGTGACAGTCAAAATGCGATTCACTTGGCGAAGAATCAAGTTCACCATGCCCGTACTAAACATATCGACGACAGATATCATTTTGTGCGGGATGTCATAGAGGAAGATGATATTTCTCTCATGAAGGTGCACACAAATGAGAATCTCGCAGACATGTTAACTAAGGTGGTGACAGGCAGCAAGTTCTAACATTATTTGGACTTGCTTCATATCAGCCCGTGTTGATCTGTCCAAGAGGGCATGGCCCTTCGAGGCAATGATGGGGGTGTGGTGGAGACTATCTTGGAGAACAATTACAGAACTACGGTTAGTTTGATCCCGGTGGAGGGTACGTAGGCAGCAGCGGTTTAGTGGCGCAGCTGGTTTGGCCTGGTGAATAATTACAGAACTCTCTGGTGATGCTCGTGGGGTTCTTCTGGTGATCGTCCAAAATTTAAGGTTTATCAAATGATGAACGAGGTGAAGAATTGTGAACGTGGGGGAACACAGGACAGTGAGTGTTCCCCATGCCCAATGTTCCTCTCCCATGCTCTTGTACCTCTGCCCATACTCTCTGCCTTCCCCCATACTCTTCCTCCCTTCCTCCAGTCGGATCCAGCAAGGCATACCCCATCTCTCTTCTCCTATAAATAGGAGAGGTAGTGAGATGGGAAAGGTGTGGGGATGAGAGCTTGTATAAGTTTGGTATTTTTCTTCATAGTAAAACCCCCCTCCCGTGGACGTAGACAAGTTTGTCGAACCACGTAAATCTCGTGTCTGTATTGTCTTAACTGTGAGTTTGCCATTGCTTGTAGGTTCCCTCGATATTTCAGTCCTAGAACTGATGAGAGGAAGAGTGTATATTTCACTTTGTTAAAATACTTCTCTTTCTATTCTAATTTCCTTTGAGAAACAAGAATATAGAGGTTAACTTGTGCTTTTGTGAAAACGAAAGCCAGGACTATCTCTCAGGTGATATCGCTTCCGCGGCGTGAGGGCGTGACTCTATGCCCAACAAAAATAAAGCAACATATTGTGATTTATCAGCATTCTTGTATTCACTATTAAAAAAAAATCCAATTAAATTTATTCAACAATGAATTCTTGTGATGAAGGTCGTTGTAAGGGGATTCCGGTCACTAGAATCAATAATTCCAGGACCAGATCACGGCCATGATAAATTCCAGTGGTTCTCTGAAGGATTCAAACCTATCTCAAAAAACAAAGAGTCTAGTTCCGAGGGTCTCAACAAAGGACTCTTCTTTTCTCGTGTTTATGAATGGAGGCTAAACATGAAGACAGGAAATGCCATGGAGAGATATTTAACAGGATGTGAATTCGCTTTGGAATTTCCTATGATGAATGACAGTTTTAGTGGTCAACATAATAAGTATGGATATGCACAAGTTGTGGACTCTATAGCAAGCTCTATTTGCGGTAAGAAAACATATATATATAATGATGTTTTTAAGTTTTTTTTTTCCAGTTATATGAGTAGTCATGACATTGATTCTTCTTTGTTGTAGCGAAGCTCAAATACAGAGGCCTAGCAAAGTTCTACTTTGAAGAACAATCTAATGGGATTTCCGAGGTGTCAAAATTTTCAGTTCACCTCAGAATATAATTTAATTTAGAGATAAAAGTTTTGATTTTTAATGTTACAGGTAGAAGCTGAAAAGAGCACTGATGGTGGCATTAAGGTAGAGCATCACCATCTTGGAGATAATAAGTTCTGTTCAGGAGGAACATTTATATCTAAAAGGGGCAGTCAAGAGGAAGATGATGGTTGGATTGTCGTCTTTGTTCATGATGAAGACCTGAATTCATCTCAGGTTAGTTTTGGAGACAAGAATTGTTGCAGCTCCGTGGACCTTTCAAAGTTTGGATTCATTTTCATTATACTAACTTGCACACAATTTCATAATATATACTTTTGCTTTTGACAGGCAGCTTTATATGTTTTTTCTCAAGACATAAATGATATATTTACAGAGTTTTCTTCATTGTGTACAAATGGCATAAAGGCCATAGTTTACCTCGACACTTTGCCTCATCGTATTATTTATGTCGATGATGAATGTGGACATAAAGATACTAAAGGTCAATCTGGAGGAGTTTCTTTCCAAGAAATAACATTTTTCACGAGTTAATCACCACATTATTCTTAAAAGTTAATATAATGACACCCAGTTTCAAGATATGAGCCGAAAAATGAAAACACTATTTCATAACTCATAACAGTGTTTATCCTTTGCAGGTTCACATAATTGACACCAAAAGGTTCGGGAGCGACCCTGTTGTCAAAATAACACTGCCACAGAGAGTCCCCTATGGGTTCCATGGAACTTTTATCCCGAGACGAGCACGAAATGAGACATGAACTCTCCGAAATCTAGAAAAGTATTGTACAAAACCAAGACTTGTAATTTGGAAGACTGATGCATGCAGTGGTCGTGAACAAAACACAGTAAAAGTTTGAAGTCCGAAAATTTCAGCTAGTCCGTGAGTATCACTTAGTGAGACTTTCAACATAGTCGCTTCATTATCATGATATTCTCACATATTGATGCGAAGCTGAACAGCCCTGGTCCTGTCCTATCTTTATTACCATGATATTTCACATATTGATTGGAGTGCTTGTTTCTATTTCACATATTTGTTGAGGTTCTTCGTTCTTGTTTCTTTGTCAAACTAAAGGTCTCCTGTTTCTGATGTAAATTTTAATTATGTAGTGAATGTTGTATATTTGAGAAGAAACAAACTCATAATTCATAGATGAAACAGGAATGATATCTAGCATATAACCTGTTGGTTATTTATGTGATAAACACCCAAACCAAATGAGTGAGTGGATGATGTCTTATCTTAGAGATAAGATATTTATAATCCTAATAATCGTATGATTTTATCTCTAAGCCCTTTTAGATATAGGGTTTTCATGATGGGTTGATGAGAAAAAAGGAGCATAAACCTTCACAAACTCGTCACCTCCTTCTTTGATCAAATTCATCCGGGCGTACCTAGTAGAGGACGGGGGAAAGGAAAGAGGCTATTACATATTCCTCCTCCTCCGCCACCATCGAAGAAGTAACACTTAGCATCTCCTAAGCTTGTGTCTGGAGACTCTTCGAGGATTAGAGAGGAGTCTCCTGCAGTCCTAGTACAAGAGCCTAGGGTTGGCTCTTAAGGTGATTTTTGTTTATGTATTAGCACCACTCGACTTGAAGTGCTTTTTAGTTGATGCGCTTCTTTTCGTGTATTAGTAAAGAGCCAATTCCTCTAGACGATGATGAGGAGCAAGTGGATTACGTTCATGATGACACTAATGTCTATTTGACTGAGCCTGAAGATGCAGGCGATGCTTGTGACATTGGTGGTTCTTCGTACATACCAGATACTTTCAGTAATCTCGTGTGATTGTTCTACTTTGGTCACTGATGTTCTATTTACTTAACAGATGATGAACCTAATTTTGGAGCCATGGGTGAAGTAGCCCCTTCGTTGTTTTCTACTGGTGGTCACTTTGAATCAGTAGTTGACTTTGAAGGAGCTTCCGGTGCCTTGGAATCTACACCTGCCATTGATACAACTGAAGCTCCAGTGCCAGCACCTGTTTCATTGGTGTGGTGGAGATTAATCATCTCTGGTTTTTCTGATGAAGATGATGGAGCTTCAATTTCTCCAGTACCCATATAGGGTGAAAGGGTAGCGCCACCAAGCCCTAGGCCTATGTCTGATAAAAGTCATAGTGTGGTTGCAGCTGATGAGCCAGAAGTCTCATCCAAGGGAATTGAAATCATGCATGTGGATGTTCCTGTAGGCGTTAAAAAATGCTGAAAGATATCCAAATACAGCTCAAGAGGAGATTATCCAAAGATCAAAAGAACACAAGGAACAGTGTAGACTGTCTCGGCACGCGAGACAGTGTTTACTGTCTCGCCGTGCGAGATAGTATTTACTGTCTCGCATGCGAGACAATGTTTACTATCTCGCCGTGCGAGACAGTGTTTACTGTCTCGCACACGAGACAGCTCTCGAAGGAAGACAGCAAATGCTGTCTCGCGGGCACGTTTCCTCTAAAACTTTGTGTTTTTACTTGAACTGCTCTTGGAGGTTATAAATACCCCCCTAGGGTCATTACTGACGAGGGCTGAGCATTTTGGAGCAGACAGAGCAGAGTACTTGAGCTTCTGGCAATTCCTTGAGATTCGAGCTTTGACTTGATCTTAAGAAGAATGATCGTCTTACTTTGATAAGATATTCACTTTAAATTCCTACTTCGATAAACGAAGGAAGAATCCCCAAACCCCTCACGATCTGTGATTTGGTGGTCCACGAGTCAAAGCGCTCCCGGCACAGGCAAAGTCCCACAAAACAAGAATCGATAAACGATTTTTGTGTTATTTTCTCAAGAGTTGTAATTTTTATTTTGTTGTGTAAAAGAAGTCTTATAAAAAGACTATCTCATTCGAATTTGTTGTAATCGATCAAAGATATAATGAATTCCATAACAAAATCAACTTTTGACGAAAACAAACTGGCGATCACAGTGGCCATTCACTGTTAAAGAACGTGGGAGACAGTTACAAACTGAAAATACCCCCACTAACTTCATAAAAAGATGGTATTTAAATAGTGGGACAGCGGTTACAAAAGAGGAGAGCATTTGAAGGCGTTCTTCTCAAGAGAGAGAGAGGGTCTTCATCAAATTCGAGAGCATTTTTAGAGCAATTCAAAGAGCATCGAGCAAATTGGAGCAGATCTGAGCATAGAGAGCAGAGAGAAAACAACAAAAATTGAGTTCCTCGTGTGATTCCTTGAGATTCGAGCTTTGATCTGATCTTAAGAAGAGTGATCGTCTTACTTTGATAAAATATTCACTTCAAATTCCTACTTCGATAAACGAAGAAAGAATCTCTAAACCCCTTACAATCTGTGATTTGGTGGTCCACGAGTCAAAGCACTCCCGACACAGGCAAAGATCTCGCGCAAGCAGCGATCCAAATAACGATCCTGCGTTTGTTTCTAAGGAGTTTGTAATTTGATTTTTGTTGTAAAGAGTAGTTTTACAAAGTACGAAACTTACTCCTTTGTATTCATTGTAATCGATAAACAATTATAATGAATTCTATAACAGAACCTATTCCTGACGCAAACAAACTGGCGACCACAGTGGGAGCCAACAGTCTCGCTGCCGAGACCGTCGTGTCGTAGCCGATTAAGATACTGGTTGAGTCCATGGTTGAATATGAATTCGACCAAGCAAAGTTTGAGGAGTATCTGTCACCCTCATCATCAAAGTCTTCATTGCCTCATTTTCTAAGAAGGTTTTCAAGTTTTTGACTCCGTCGAACGCTATAGATGAAGACTCTCGCCTGATTTTTGCTGAGGATTCTACTCGCAACACCTCTGCTCACAAATGACTCTTATCTAGTTAAAGAGTCATCGAATCAAAGCCCACCGGCACTGACGAAGAGGGCTCGTCAGAGACAACGTCAGCGTCGCGCTCGCCAAATGGTTAAAGCCTTGGAACAAACTGACGGGGTTCGTTATCACGCGGACCTAGAGTCGAGGAGGCATCGAGTGGGTCAATTGTCTCAACAAGCAATCACTCATATCTTTGCTAAACTAACAATGGAAGAATGGACTCTTGTCAAAAAGGTTCGTTCGACCCTCAAAGAACGTATACAAAAACGTCGTGCAAATGCTGCTCATGCCCGTGCTCTCTTACAGCAAAGACGAGAAAGGAAGAAGGAAACGGTGTCCAAAGAACCACCAAAACTCTGCAAAGTTTGGATTCCAAAGTCTAGAGTTGTGCAAAATCAACATTCAGAGCCCGTTAAGACTCTGCACTCGCAAGAGGGTGGTTCTAAACATGTGACTCCTAACATAACCTTGGATCGCTCAAAGGCAACAACAAGTTATCCTGAGTATGATAACAAAGTTCAAAAGCAAAAGATAGGTTGCTCAAATTATCATGTAGATGAGCTGTACTATTAAACTAAAGGAGGAAATAAGTCACGAAAAAGGACTGTTCAAGAAACAAGTCCTCATTGTGTATGTGAAAGACTCATCAAGGCGGTATTGTCGGAGTGTAGATGTTCTGAATCAGTTTCGCCAAGAGTCTCCATATTCCAAAGACTGTCCGCTGAAATGTCCAGATCCAAACCGAGACGTTTTCACAAGAGAAGATCGGCTGTCCAAGATGATGAAGTCCCTAAAGTCACTATCAACATGGTTGATAAAAGAAAGTCTAAGCAGCATTCATGTGACTCAAATCCTGACTTTTTCCCGAGAGGAAAAGTCAATTCAAGAATTACCCAACGGATGTCCCGACTCTAGTTAAGAGCCATCAGGCATAGGGACTACAAGATAATGCATGAAGGAATGTCATCAGAGGATGAGCTCTCGGACACTTGCTCTGCGATCGCTTCGGATGATACGGTATCTAGCACAGGGCAAACCAGAGAAGTACTCACAATCACCTCTGATTAGTTCGCTCAAATACTTCAAGAAGCTCTAGCCAAACAACATGAAGAAATTAGAGCTGAGATGAAGACAGAGATAGAGTTGGCTATCCAACAAATGAGAGAATTACTAGCTCAACGGTCTCAACCTCCTGAATCTAGCCGCCACATTCAGAATGTTATAGATGACAGTGATCCAGAAGTGGATGAAGTCATTATGGCTGATACACCTCCCAATAGCAATAACGCTAGGGATAGTTTAACGGATCCTCCCAATAACGATATTGGGGGTGGTTCAATGACACCTCTTACATGGGGTGGTCTAACTCATTCTCCTCAACGTCCTTCGAATGAAGACATAGACGATGATGGGAAAATGAAAGAGCTTGAAAACAAAGTCAACGCTTTGATGACGGCTCAAGAAGTGAAGAAGACGGGTATTCCATGTCCCTATCCAAGAGAATGAGATTCAATACCGTACCCGGCAAAGTTCAATCTGATTAACTTCACACCGTTTGATGGGAAAGGCTCGCCTATTTAACACTTGATTTATTTCAAGTCTCATTTGGGCATGATCTCTGGAAACGAGGCTTTAATGGTCCGGTCATTCGTTGGCACCCTTCGTGGGCCCGCCTTCGATTGGTACCGACGTCTCAAGCCAGAGAGCATCAATTGCTGGGATAACATGGAAAGTTTATTTCTCAGTAATTTCTTCGAGGATGACACCGAAGTGTCAATCGGAACCCTTCTGGATGAGAAGCAAAGAGATGGAGAGTCAGTCGACAATTTTTTCAAGCGCTTCCGTAACAAAGCGATGAATTGTAGAGATCCTGTCACAGAGGAGTTCATCCTGCAAACATGCCACAACAATCTTTCCATCGACGTCCTGGAAGTCCTGGGGGTTGTGCCTTCAACCACTTGGAAAGAATTAAAACTTCGTGGCGAATAAGCTGAACACTTTCTTAAAAGAAAGAAAGCTGAGAGAAGCCAACTGACGATATCCACAATCGCTGTGAACGCAACTCTCGATCCGAAGTTCCAAAAATAGTATTCTTTTAAAGATGATGACACTCCAACCATCTTGAAATACCTCATCGCTAATGACAAAATCAAGTTGCCACCTATTAAAGATCAGGAGGGAGCTAAGAGGATTACGGATCCGAACTACTGTGCGTACCACAGAAGGGTTCTTCATCCCACCAAGGTTTGCTTTGGACTCAAAAACAAAATCCAAGCCTTAATTGACTCTGGCGTCATAACGGCAAAACAAGCTAAATAAAGACGACCTCTACTCCATTGGGTACACGAGT